GCAAGGATGTGGAGAAAAAGGAACCCTAGTCACTGCTGGTGGGAATGCAGACTGGTACATCCACTATGGTAAACAGCACGGAGTTTCCTAAAAAAATTAAATATGGAACTGCCATTTGACCCAGTGATCCCATTTCTAGGAATATACCCTAAGAAACCCAAAACATCAATCAGAAAGAATATATGCACCCCCATGTTCATAGCAGCAAAATTTACAATAGCGAATTTCTGGAAACAGCCCAAGTGCCCATCAAGTAGACGAGTGGATAAAAAAGCCGTAGAGCATTTATAACATGGAATACTATGCAGCAGTAAGAAAGCAGGATCTGTTACCTTTTAAGACAGCATGGAGGAACCAGGAGAGTATTATGCTAAGTGAAATAAGCCAGTCAGAGAAATACAAGTATCACATAATCTCACTCATATGTGGAATCTAATGAATAAACTAATGAACAAAATAGATCCAGAGATACAGAACCATGGAACAAACTGATGAATTTCAGAGGGGAAGTGGGAGTGGGTGAGGGGGCAGAGAGGAGAGATTAAATGGGGAACATATATGCATAGCCCATGCACACAGACATTGGTGTGGTGAAGGCCTGGGGGGAGAGGGTGGGTACGAGGAGAAGGGGATTAATGGGAAAAACAACACCACAACCACCATGGGGACATCTGTAATATTTTCAACAATAAAGATAAATTTAAAAACAAAAGAAATGTTAAAAAAAAAAAAAAAGGACACAGGGCACATTTAGTCCTGGCTGGTGTTCTCAGTGTTTAAAGCATTGGCCCACTCACCAATGGGTTGGGGGTTCCATTTCCAGTAAGGGCATGTATCTGGGTTGCAGGTCCGATCCCTGGCCTTGGTCAGGGCATGTGCAGGAGGCAACCAATTGATCTCTCTCTCTCACACTCTCTTTTTCTTCTCCCTGTCTCTCCCCCTACCTTCCACTCTCTCTAAAAATCTATGAAAAAAATATCCTTGGGTGAGAATTAATAAAAAATATATTGTTGAGATGATAAATGAATGGAGGGAGGAGTCAACGCTCCTGTCAAAAGATTGGAGGATAATGGGAAGGGGCAGGTTCAGGAAAATTTTCTAAGAGTTGTTTAATTCTGTGCGCCTGATTGCCCCTAACCACTCCCCTGCCAGCCTGATCAATGCCTAACTGCTCCCCTGCCTGCCCGATCACCTCTGTCTGCACTCCCCTGCTGGCCAGTCACCCCCAACTGTCCTCCCTTGCTGACCTGATCACCCATAACTGCCCTCCCCTGTCGGCCATCTTGTGGTGGCCATCTTGTCACCACATGGGGGTGGCCATCTTGTGTGAGGGTGTGATGGTCAATTTGCATATTACCTATTTATTATTTATCCTTGGGTGAGGATTAACAAAACAACATACTTTTAGACTGTCAGTGTTCACAAGTTTCAATCCTATCCCTGCAATTTATTTGCTGAGTGCTCTGGGGGCAAAGTAATTTAACTTTTGCAAATCTCAGTTTCCTCATAAAAAAGCTGGGAGGATGTTTATTTATGTAGTTCTTTCCAACTACAAAATTCTGTTTTTCATGAGCTGCATGTACACAAAAAATAAATGGTGCTAGCCTGGTGTGGCTCAGAAGTTGAGCGTTAAACCTATAAACCAGGAGTTCACAGTTCAATTTCCTGTCAGGGCACATGCCTGGATTGCATGCTCAATCCCCAGTGTGGGGTGTGCAGGAGGCAGCTGATCAATGATTCTCTCTCATCATTGATGTTCTATCTCTCTCTTCCTCTCCCTTCCTTTCTGAAATCAATAAAAAAATATATTTAAAAAAAAGAAAACAAATGGTAATGGACTTATTCAAACAGATGCCTTAGTAACAGTTGAAATGAACAGATTTCCAGAAAATTGAAACGTAACTTCAAATAATGCAGGGAAGCTTCTGTGAAGGTAGAGAAGCACAAACAACCATGAAGCAAAGGGAACAACCTTTCCTGAGAAATGATGGCCAAATCTCTGTGCACTAAGTTCCATCCCTTACCTTTCAGCCATATCTTGAAATATCATCAACTTAATCATCTGGGCATTTGATGATAATGCTATCTAAAGTATACAACTATTTTAAATAAAAGAAATCCAAATAAGAAAGGAAGCATAAGCCCTAGCCGGTTTGGCTCACTGGATAGAGCGTCGGCCTGGGGACTGAAGAGTCCCGGATTCGATTATGGTCAAGGGCATGTACCTTGGTTGCAGGCACATCCCCAGTAGGGGGTGTGCAGGAGGCAGCTGATCGATGCTTCTCTCTCATCGATGTTTCTAACTCTCTATCCCTCTCCCTTCCTCTATGTAAAAAATCAATAAAATATTTTTTTTAAAAAGGAAAAGTCTGTATCTAAATGAAATACTATTTAAAACTTCTTTTAAAAAAAAGAAAGGAAGCATAAAGCTGTAATTATTTGTAGATTACATACTACTATATAGAGAGAACCTTAAAGATTCTAGAAAAAAAACCTGTTAGAACTAATTAAATGAATTCAGAAAAGTAGCAGGATAGAAAATTAATATTCAGAATTTGATTGCATTTTTATACACAACAACAAAATAAGAGAAAGAAAAATTAAGAAAAAAATCCCATTTACAATTACATCAAAAAGAATAAAATATGTAGCAGTAAATTCAACCAAGAAAATAAAAGACCTGTCCTCAGAAAACTATAAGACATTGCAGAAATAAATTGAAGAAGATAAAAATAAATGAAAGGATATACTGTGTTCATGGTTAGGAAGAATTAACATTATTAAAATGTCCATACTACGCAAAGCAATCTACAGATTCAATGAAATCCTTATCAAAATACCAATGGTATTTTTCACAGAACTAGAACAAATAATCCTAAAAAATATCTGGAAGCACAAAAGACCCTGAATAGCCAAAGGAATCTTGAAAAAAAAAAAGAAGTTGGAGGTATCATGCTACCTGATATCAAACTACTTAGTATACTATAGCATGGTACTGGCATAAAAACGGACACATAGATCAATGAAACAGAATAGACAACCCAGAAAAAAATCCACACCTATATAGTTAATTAATCTATGATAAAGGAAGCAAGTATATACAATGGGGTAAAGACAGTCTCTTCAATAAATGGTGTTAAAAGGGGGGGTCAAAGGGGGCCCTGTAATACTGTCAACAATAAAAATGAATGAATGAAGTTGACAAAACTGGACAGGCATGTAAAAGATTGAAACAGGATTACTTTCTTATAGAATATACAAGAATAAAATCAAAATGAATTAAAAAATTAAATGTAAGACCTGAAACCATAAAAATCCTATAAGAAAACACAGAAGAGTAGCTAATGCTACTCTTCGACATCACTCTTAGTAATATATTTTTAGATGTCTCCTTGAACAAGGGAAATACAAGAAAAAATGAATAAATGGGAGTACATCAAACTAAAGTATTTTTGTATAGAGAAGGAAACCATCAACAACATGAAAAGACAACCAACTAAATGGATGAAGATATTTGCCAATGATATATCCGAAAAGGGGTTATATCCAAAATATATAAGGAACTCATATAACTCAACTCCAAAAAAACAAATAATCTGATTTAAAAATGGGCAGAGGACCTGAATAGACATTTCTCTAAACAGGACATACAATGGCCAATAGACACATGAAAAGATGCTCCATGTCACTAACCATTAGTGAAATGCAATTAAAACCATAATGAGGTATCACTTCACACCTGTCAGAATGGTTATCATCAATACCTCAACAAACAAGTACTGGTGAGGATGTGGAGAAAAGGGAACCCTTGTGCACTGTTGGTGGGATCATAAATTGGTGTTACCACTATGGAAAGTAGTATGAAGTTTCCTCAAAAAATTAAAAATAGAACTATCATATGACCCAGTAATTCCACTTATGGGTATTTATCCAAAGAAATCTCAAACACTTATTGAAAAGATATATGCAACTTTATGTTCATTTCAGCGTTACTTATATTAGCCAAGATATGAAGCAACCTAAGTGTTCAATAGATGAATGGATAAAGAAAAAGTGAGGCCCTAACCGGTTTGGCTCGGTGGAGAGAGCATTGGCCTATGGACGGAAGGGTCCCAGGTTTGATCCCCGTCAAGGGCATGTACCTTGGTTGCGGGCAGAATCCCAGTAGGAGGTGTGCAGGAGGCAATTGATAGGTGTTTCTCTGGAATATTAATCAGCCATAAAAAAGAATGAAATCTTGCCATTTGTGACAACATGGATGGACCTAAAGGCTATTATGCTAAGTGAAATAGGTAGAGAGAGAGAGACAAATACCTAATGATTTCACTTATATGTGGAATCTAAAGAATAAAACTAACAAACAAAACAGAAACAAACTCACAGATACAGAGAACAAATTGATGGTTGCCAGATGAGAGGGGATTGGGGGTAATGGGTGAAAAAGGGAAGGGAATAAGATGATCAAATTGCCAGTTATAAAAACAGTCACGGGAAAGTAAAGTATAGCATAGCAAATATAGTTAATAATATTGTAATAACTATGTGTAGTGTCAGATGGGCACTAGAATCATTGGGGTGATCACTTCATTAAGCTATATAAATGTCTAATTACTCTGCTGTAGACCCTAATATTGTCTGTCAACTATAATTTTTAAAAAACTGCCTGGCCAGTGTGGCTCAGTAGTTGAGTATAAACCTATGAATCAGAAGGTCATAGTTTGATTCCCAGTCAGAGCACATGCCCAGGTTGTGGGCATGCAGGAGGCAGCCAATCAGTGATTCTTTCTCATTATTGATGTTTCTATCTCTCTCTCCCTCTCCCTTTCTCTCTGAAATCAATTTTAAAAATATATTTAAATTTTTTAATTTAAAAAATGATTTTAGGGTTTTAGAAAAACTTTAAAAATAATAAACAGTAATAAAAAATTAAAATCAAATATTAATAGTCATACATATTAAAATTGAAAAGCAGAGATATAATACTCTTACAGATAGTTTACCTCAAAGTCTATCAGCTGTAGGTCAGCTATCAGTGTCACCAGCAGCCCACTATTGTAGAGTTCTTGTGCTAACTGAGCCACAGCCTCTGTTGGGGGTTCCTTGTCATTTGTACCACACAGAATTTCTTTCATTGCTTGCAGTGATTTCGATACTTCTTCCGAAGCCTAGTGACCAAAAAGTATGCTAAGACTTAAGTGAATAAAAATTTTCAGGCTATAAACAAACAAAAGCCACTTATTAATCCCCGTATATTTATGATCAAAGAACACTGTACAGTTATAAACAAACAAAAACTTTTTAGTAAGCACTGTTTTTTTTATTTTAAAAAGTTACTAAAATTTATATCTAAAAAAGACCTCTAGTTTTTCTATTTAGACAGCATAATTAAAAAAAAATATTTTCTCTTAAACCATACTCAGACACAGTCCATTTTGATAGTAATTAATTTTAAATTTAACTCTTGAAATTAAAATGACTCTATTTTAAAGACCTATCAGTAGCTACTAGTCTTTAAAACATTTGCTAAAGTTTTTCCGATTTTTTTAAGTAGTCTAGGTATAAAATCATAAATTGTCAAAACGCATAAACTTTCTTTGTTGATACACTTTTTCTCAGACATTATCTTTTTTGTTATCTATAAAACTTTAAAAAAATCCCTCACTATATATAAAGAATAATAGGAAAATCCATGGAGATAGAGAGTAGGTTAAGTGTGTACTAGGGCCTGTTGAGATGGAATGAGTAATGACTGCTTATGGGGTAGAGGGTTTCTTTTTGGGATGATACAAATGTTCTGGGGTTAGATAGTGGTGATGGTTGTACAACCTTGAGAGTATAATAAAAACCACCAAGTTGTACACTTTAAAATGGTGGAGTATATGGTATGTAAATTATATCTCAATGAAAACTTTTTAAAAAGTTAATACAGATGAGGAGAGAAGAACAGACCATTAGTTAACAATTTGATTTGCTGACCACTAAAAATATATATGTAAAGTATAAAATTTAAAGTATACTATTCTAATCATTATAATTGAAGGGAATAAAGAGAATAAGGTAATATAAAAATAATACATAGTAATGTGACACTACTTAAAAAAATAATTTCCATATACATTTTATGATCTGACTAAAGCAATCCTATTTATTAGAGATTGGAAGTTTCTTAAATTGTGTAACTATACCACAGGTCAAGAAACATTTAAGTACCCCAGAAGTTACTTGAATGGCTCTCTTTCAGCCTAAAAGTAAATATTGTTATGTCTTTTATGATAAACATTTATTTACATTTTTGTAGTTTTCTTACCTATGTTTGTAGCCTAAACAATATAGTTTAGTTCTACAGATTTAGAATAATACCTGTACTCTTTTAAAATTTGCTTCTTTCACTCCACACTGTATTTGTGAGATTCATCCATGCTGCTGCATGTAAGCAGCAGCTCTTCAATTTTCATTTTCTATGGTATTCCAATGATGGTGGCACCACTTCACTATCAGCTCTATTGTTGTTGGACATTTGGGTTGTTTCCATTGAGGGCTTATTTGCAAAGCACAATACTATAACATTCTTGTACATGCAGTCTGGGATCATGTTCAAGAATATCTCTCTAAAGTTTATATCTAGCAAGAACACGCATGCCTTTCTATCTAACAGATAATATACTAACCTTGTTTCCAAAAACCAATTTATATTTTACACTCATAGTGAATCAAAGTTCTTATTGCTTTCCATACTTGTCAATCCTTAACACCATTAGACAATTTTGCCAAGGTAGAACATGTATATTATGAATATACTGCAGTTACTTGGACTTTTTCTGATTACTAATGAAGATGAGTATCTTTTTATTTTTTTTAAAAAGTTTTCTCTCTTTTGTCATTTAGAATTACTAAAGATCTTTTTTATAAAGATCTTTTTTTTTATAAAGATCTTTTTTTCTACTTGGACCAACAATTGGTTCAATATTACAAGTACACTAGGATTAAAATATATTTCTATATTACTTACAAGATGTAGGATGAAAAATATACTTCTACATCCTTATAAGAACACAAGATTGTATCAGACACTGAGACAAAAAAATACTTTGCACTCAAGGGTATTTAATTTATAGATACTAACACTAAAAAGTCCTTCCAATGCAGAAGCACTACATGGTAGGATTTTAAAACAATGTTAAAATGAGGTTGCACTGCAGTAGAAACTATCAGTTAACCTTTAAATAAAAGCTTTTTACCCTTCATGCCAATATTATATTATACCAGTACTAGAGGCCTGGTGAATGGATTTGTGCAGTGGTGGGGTCACTCAGCTTGGCCTGAGGGGATCAGGTCAAAACTGGCTCTCTGACATCCCCTAAGGGGTCCCAGATTTCGAGAGGGTGCAGGCCAGGGCGAGGGACCCCACCAGTGCACGAATCCATGCACTGGACCTCTGGTATGTATATAAGATCTATGGTTAATCTCTTCCCCCACTCCTCCCTCCCCGCTTCCCTCTGAGATTCATCAGTCTCTTCCATGTTTCCATGCCTGTGGTTTCTGCTTCTGCATTGAGCATCTGCCTCCTGGGAGTCAGTGCGCATCACAGCTACTGGTTGGTTGGTCAGCCAGTTGCTTAGGCTTTTATATATATAGATAACCACTTAAATTTTTAAGCTATGTAGTCTAGAGGAATCCAGGGTTGGTCAGAGGCTCCAGATAATGAATCAAGAGTATCTCAGTTGGTTAGAGCATTGTCCTGATACACCAAGGTTTCAGGTTCAATCCCCAGTCAGAGCACATACAAGAATCAACCAATGCATAAAGATGTAGAACAGCCCTGGCTGGTTTGGCTCAGTGGACAGAGTGTCAGCCTGTGGACTGAAGGGTCCCAGGTTTGGTTCCGGCTGGGGGCACGTGCCCAGGTTGCAGGCTCGGTACCCAGTGTGGGGTGTGTAGGAGGCAACCGATCGATGATTCTCTCTCACCATTGATGTTTCTCTCTCTCCCTCTCCCTTCCCTTCTGAAATCAATAAAAATATATTAAAAAAAAAAGTAGAACAATAAATCAATGTTTCTCTTGCATGCGCTCTCTCTCTCTTCTCCTTCTCTTTCTCTAAATCAGTAAAAAAAATTTTAATAAAGAAATTTTAGTTGGTTAGAGGGTTGTCCTGATATACCAAGAGTTCAAGACAATAGACTCAGCAATTAACAGATGCATAAAACCTAAAATAAATTTAAATGTATTTACAGAGACTCTATGTAAATCACAGACCATATTTGGGGTACTTTATTAAACTTTTATGTTGATTTTTGGTCTTGGAATAAATATATTTTAATAATAATGTTATTGTTTTAGCTCATACCTTGTCTGTCTTTTTGTCTTGCTTTTCCAAAATGGCTAAGTTGTCTTTCAGAATTTTCACAATTTCTGCTGGATTTTTATGTGATTTACTAAACAACGGCATTTTTTTCATCTTTAGAAATATCCTCTTCCAATATGGAATGCTAAAAACAAAAAAATAAAAATAAAAATCATTAACTTATTCTTAACATGATTCAATTGTTATACTAAAATGACTTAAGTTTTCAATTCAGTAATTTGCTATATTAAAATCCAATTAAAATGAGTTTCATCAAGTTTTATGCCGAATTTAAACACATGAAAAATATTTTTAAACTTTACCTAAAAGTTTTTTCTCTAAGTTAAAATTTTTTCTTATAATAGAAATACAAGTATTATGCAAGAATGGAAAAAAGAATACCTTTAGAGAAAAACCTGATATTTAGACTAAAAACTGGTGCTAATAATAATAGTAGATAAAATAAAACATATAAAACTAAAGTGGAATTAAGATCCACGTACTATGGTAAGGCGATATTTAAAAGCATTCCACTCAACAGCAATGTAGAGACTGTTCTTCACTCTTTAAATATTCAACTGACTATACTCATTGATGAAATGAGGGCTACCATGGCAGAAGGTGAAGAGAGAAGGGCAAGGAGTATCAATTCTTGATTTTGAGAACATCAATTTACATACAGCAGAGAAAGCCAAATGTGGCAATCATTGTCTTATATTCACTTTACATCTATTAGCAAACATATTTCAAGCATTACAGAAATATGGTATAATAAATCAAAGGCTTCCATTAACAAATGACCCAGAGATACCAATTATCAGTTTGGAATATACTACTCCTGAGTTTTTTCTATACATATAAAAGTAAATATGTTTTAAAATAAAAATAGAATAGTTCTAAATATAGTATTTTGTAACTTTTCCAAACTTTTTATATCTTGAATATCATTCTATAAGTGCATGTTTAGGTCTGTAATATTTTTATTGCAATATAGTATTCCATTATACAGATACATTACATAATTATTTGATAAGTTCTTCTTAATTATTATAATTTATTTTACCAATATCCTATTGATGTATTTTGAGTTAATTCAATTTCTCTTAATATTTTTCTTATTAACAGTGAAGAATATTATATGTAAATGTGCACACAAACATGTATACCAGTTGATAACAGCGCTCTTCTAACCAGCTATTCCTGTGGCGTAACCTTGGCTATGGCTCTAAATCCCTCATCCTCCTAGATTCCTACTTCCTAAATCTGGTTCCCTAGTATTTGATAGATCTGTGAACTACCTTATATCCTTCTAATAAATTCATTCAGTATTGACTGTGATCAAGAATTCCAAAGGGATACATACTAGTATATGTTATGAAGTATAAATTACAACTGTTGGTATAAATTTTGATAATAAACAAAAGACTTAAAAAATATTTCATATTTTCAGTAGGAATGCCTTAACTTCCCAATGTGGGAGGGTAAATATAAGGGGGAAGTTGTCCACTTTTAGGGCAAGAATAAGTTTTAAAAGCATGTTAAACGACCCAAATCAGTCTCTAAAACTGATTCAGAAAGTTGACTCAGCACTGAAAGATAAAGTATGTGAAGATCACACTGTGAGACTCAGTGGGTGGTTTCAGGTGCAAAAAAGAAAGAACATTGGAAGAACACTGTGTCCTGTCCCTTTATAAAATCCAAGGACAAAATGATAAATATGCATTAGGTCTTTCTTTAATAATCAGGCCTAAACATAAATAAAGGCAAAGTATATTTAAAAGTGTATGTAATGTGGAAGTGGGGTAGGTGCTGAAATGATCATTAGATGGTTGGGCAAAGTAAACAGTCTGTTGATTACTACCTGGGTGCTCTTGGGCACAGTATGTGATCTCTCCAAGTTCTGTGTTTTTACCTGTAAACGGTTATAATAACATCTCCTTCTCAGGACTGTTGTAAGGATTAAAGGCATGCAGAGCACCTTGCACAGGGCCTAGTAGATGTGAGGTACTCTATAATGCTTAGCTGCCATTATTACAAAACGTTCCATAATAGTTAATGAATTATTTCACTATACAGAAAGACATAATAATTGAGATATAATTTTGTCTTTATTGTGTCCTAGACACTTCTAAATTCCTGAGCCATTTACACATTTTTTTAAAATATAAATTTATTTTTTGAATTTTAAATAATCTATGTATATAAAAGCCTGACTTTCAAATTGTCCCCTCAGGAGTTCAACCAGAAGACCGGGAGTTTGATCACTTGCTATGACGTGCACTGACCAGCTGGGGGTGGCATTTTATTGAATAGCACTTTATCTTCTCTATTTAATGGGGGGAGGGGGGGTGTGCAGGGGGGAAGCAGCACATGAAAATGAGAGAAATGCCCTATGGGCTTGGACAGGGAAGGTTGCTTCCAAAATTAATTTTTTGTAGGAGACGGGGGGGCGGGGGGGATTTATGCAAAAAGAAAGCTGGCCAAGATAAACAATCAAACACATAAACATACTTATTACCCCCTCCCACCCAATACAGCATGACAGTCCAAATCTGCATAGAGCAGAATTGACCCCACAGAGAATTGATTGATGACAAATAAAAGGTACAAAATTGGCCAGTCTACATTTATTCATTCAGAAAATATTTACTGAGCCCCTTTGAAGTCCCAGGTATTGAATTAGAAAATTCAAAATGAACACGTCTCACAGGGCTCAAAATGCAGTGGGAAACAGACACATACAGGTTTAGCCAGAATGCCAGAAAGAGTCAAAGAAACTAAAATGATATTAAGTGTGTGTCTGTATATAGACATACACTACATATATATGTATATATATGTGTATATATGTATACATATACATAGAGATGTATATATTACATATAGTATATATATATTATAAAGCTATAGAGAAGATAAAGTGCTATTCAATAAAAACAGGTATTATAACAATAGGGAAAGGTCAAGGAAGCCAATAACAAAATAAAGGCAACTAAAAAATGGAGCAGAAGCAACACTCAGAGAAAGAGAGAAAATCTAAACCTGGTCATTTAAAGGATTTTTCTCATTGAGATAAATAATGAGACCCCAAATTAAGCTTCTTGTAGCTTTTAAAAGAAACAAATATTCCTCTTTCAAAGCTCATTTATACAAAATGACCTTAACAAAAAAGGGCCAAAAAATTAAGTTGTCTTTAGACTTTCATAAAACTAAATGTCATAGGACCATGGAGACAATCTATAGAGTTCTGAGAGGGAAAGTTTATAACCTCATAATTATGTGTTACTTACGTATTAATAAATTGTGTACAGTTACTAAAACTTTTACAAAAAGATGAGATGAATCAAGCCCACAAGGGTTCAATAAAATAAATGCTAAAATTCAGAAATAGTTCTTGAGTGGGAGCCTTGATATTGTTGGCAGGACATGTGAGAGGGTGAGAATTTACAATTATAATTAAAACCTCTGGGAATAAAAATAAATAAGAATTCAACTAAATAAGTTAAAAAGGAAACTACCCCAAAAATCTCTAAGAAAACAAGGATGAAAACAATTGAATCAGAAAAGTAAAAGAAAATCTCTGCAGGTCCCTCCATGCTGTCTCAAAAAAGTAAGAGACCACCACACTTTTTTACTGCTGCATAGTATTCCATGGTGTAAATGTATCACAGCCATTTTTTTAATGCTAAGCAAAGTAAGCCAGTCAGAGAAATACAAGTATCATATGATCTCACTCATATGAAGAATCTAATGAACAAAATAAACTGATGAACACAGTAGATCCAGAGACAAAGAACCATGGAACAGATTGCGGAATCTCAGAGGGAAGGCAGGGGAGGGTGTGTGGGTGGGAAGAGATCAACCAAAGAACTGTATACATATATGCATAACCGCTGGACACAGAAAATAGGGTGGTGAAGGCCTGGGGTAGGGGTAGGGGGTGGGGTGGGGGTGGGCTATAAATGGTCAATGGGTGGAAAAGGGGGACATACGTAATAATTTCAACTATAAAGATTTTTAAAAATTACAACAAAAAAAGAAAATCTCTGGTAACTGTTTGGTCCTGTTTCTTCTGGTGATAAGACATGTCTGTTCTACTTCCCACCCCACCCTACCAAAAGGGTGGGAATAGGACCCAGGTGTGGCCAGAGTATTTCTTCCACTTCCCTGGCTATAACAATTGACTCACAAAATTATGACAAGGTCAAGATAATCAAAATACTTCAACAGGACTTTTTTGCCTATGTGTTTTAATTTAATTTAGTTTAAATAAAATATTTGGACATACAGAAGGAGAGACAGAGAACAATGTAATGTGTTTCTCAATATTTACCACCTAGTTTAAAAAATAAAACAACTGAAGCAACCCCCTTGGTATGTCTCACTGATCCTATTCCCCTCTGGCTCATACTGTGCCTACTTATCATTTATCTTTCCTATATATGTTTTCACTTTTTTACCAATATTTATAGATAATATGAGATATTGTGTATGCTTTAGCTTTATATAAGTGGTATCATACCATTAGTTCCTTTTCCCCCTCAACATTATGTTATGAGATCTATTTGTATTGATACACAAATCTCTAATTTATTCATCTTACCTACTGTATACCATCGCATTGTATGACTATATTGCAATTTATTTACTAATTCTCTGAGTTCTAATTATTTTCAATTGTTTACTGTTGCAAACATAATTGTAATACAGATTATCTTGCATGTTTACTTGTACATTTGTAGGAGAATGTCTCTAAGGCAGTGGTTTCACCCCTTTTTTTGGAGTGATTCATACTTAGGAATGCATTTTACATTGTGACCTAGATCAAGTAATGTATGATTATATAATTAGTTCATGAAACAATACCTGCTCTCTATATATTTTCCATTCTATTCTACCTGTTTTATCTTACATCATTTAAAAAAAGTACTGAAATTTTGCGGGGATTAAAAAAAGTACTGATCTCCCAGACGGCATGGCTCAGTGGTTGACTGTCAACCTATCAACCCAGGAGGTCAGGGTTCGATTCCAGTCAGGGCATATGCCTGGGTTGTGGGCTTGACCCCATTGTTGCGTGCAGGAGACAGCTGAGCAATGATTCTCATCATTGATGTTTCTCTCTCTCTCCCCCTCTCCCGTACTTTC